ATATGCAAGTATGTATGGAACATCACCATAAAACAGCACATTCCAGATTTTCATTTTTGATTCAAGTTCATTAACAGTTTCATCAAAATCTTCAACATATCTTTTCTCTTCTCCCTTAAAAATCAAAATCTTTCTCTCCAACCAAACAGAAAAGTCTGGACAAGATTTCTTTGTTGTTGCTGTTGAGTTATCTGTTAGATTTCGAGCCATAGAAATCTCTATATTGTCATCTTTTTCACTTAAAGTTGTTAATGGATCTTTGATAAGCTTGTCAATAACAGAACCTTGATCCATCTCACTTCCTTCAGTGATAGTTAATCCTAAGGCATTTTCAGCTAGCAAGGAAATCAAAGGAGTCATGATAAAATTACCATTCAAATCAATATTTTCTGTTTCGTCTTTTATCATTTTGTTGATATTAATGACATTACAATGTATTTGAACATAATTAGTTCTGACAAGAATGGGTTCAATAAGCGTCTATTGAAGAAAACTTTCTAAATTTTCAAAGGGAGGGACTTGATCAAATGGTAAACTAAGTGCTTTCACAAGATGTTCAGAATAATCAATATAGATTCATTTTGATGACCTTTCTGATGCCAACTCAATTGCAGAGTGTTTACCTATGTGTAAGATAATACATAAAAAAAGTACATATTATCAATATTTCAAACAATATGTCACTCAAACAAATAAATCAATAAACAAAATGAAATGAATGGAGAATAATTTTTTGTATATTTTTTTACGCAATTTGTTCATTACCTTTTTCATCAAATTTAGCTAAATTTTTTTGCAAATGACTATACAACTCCCACCTATCATTTCTATCTTTCTCTAATTTTTTCATCCTTTCCTCTAACCCTTTCTTCTCCCCTTCGTATTTTTCCATACTTCCTTCCCACAACTGGTCAAGCCTCCCTCTCCACTTTTCTTTCCACTCCTTCAATTCTTCTTTTGCTTCTTCAAGTTCTTTTTTGCATCTTCTAACCCTTTTTTAAGTTCAAGTTTTTCAAATGTAGCCATTTGTAAAATTTAAAAATTAAATTTTTTTTTTAATATTTAGATCGTAATTATTATAATAATTCGGACCAATGATAAATTAGCAGGCACATGACTTGAAATTTATTTTTACGGACGGACAATGGATTAAAATAATCGTGTATATATGGTTGGCTCGGTCTAAAGACCTCCTATTTCTGCGCCACGTGGCCAAATTTCAAAAATAGCAATTTTGTAAT